TTTCGAAAATGTGCAAAATATATTAAATTTTAACTACACCATTTAAAAATATATGTATTTGTGTAGATTTTTCAAAGCGACTAGGATCTGAATGTATAGGGCAACAGAACACGACTCAAAGCCCAATTTAAAGGAAGTATGTTTTGAGCAGGCATCAACAGATAGACTGAAAAGCAAGGCAAAAGCATAGGTTTTTTTTAGATGTTGAGTGGACTAAATGCAATGTGAATTTATCTGCAAACCATCTGTGATTTCTGGTATTTTTTGATGCCTTCGCAGCTCTAATTTTAAGCAGTTATGTAGCCTTTAAATAATTATACTTTCTTCCCATTCGGTTTTAGATCAGATTCCACACTTGATCACTGAATGTTTAAAGAAAAGAAGCAGCTGAGTATACTTCTCTGCAGATTGCACACATACAGAATATAACAGCAGTCTTTTATTTTGCAAGTAAAATTTGACATATTTTGGGACTGAATTCCGCATGCATAAAATAACACCACGAGTTTTGCTGGAAACGGTTTACTTTTTGTATTTTGCTTTACACTTCTCATGTAAATTCAGTGCTGGGATGAGGTGTTAAGTTGAATTCCCCAGGGACGGGAACTCCAGAAGCAGCACAGCATAACAGCAGATCTCTCTGAATTATCTTAAAACTGATACCGAGGGTGCCAGTTTCATCAGACAAGGGAGAATCAAAGAATCATAATCCATCCAGGCCTTAGTGGTTCTGCAGACAAATCTGTTATGTGCTGGGTTTTCTGTGTGCAATGTGGACACTTTATAACAGTAAGCTGAAACAAAACACTCTGGATAAGGAACTGAATTACTTCCTGAAAACTGTAGTTCTTACAGTGACCCCCTAAGGGGATTGGGAGGCCTCTAGGTCAGTTTTCCATACATCACATACATGTGGGGGAAGAGCCTTTTGAATGTGAGCCTGATCGCCTGAGAGTCTGAAACAATGCTAAGGTAACTCTATTCATCCCACAGGAAATCTGATGATAACTACATCATTGTCAGCTCAGTACATTATTTCACTGTTTCTTCTGGCAGGAGTGTTCAGATAAGATATTTCGCTCACTATTGCTGGATATAGTGGGAGATTCTGATTCAGGGAACAATAGGAAAGAAATAGCACTGAAGATCAAGGCTCTCCCACATCTGAAAATGTCTTGCCATTTCTACCTTGTCTAGGAGGAGTCAAGACGCTTTCCCTTTTCTTGGCAGAAGCCTCAAACATGAGTCGATAACCCCCCAGCTTCTCTTCTGCTTCAATAATGCATCATGTAGTAAACTCTGTGGCTAACTGAAGACTGAAAACTTAAAATAAATTAATGGGAATGTAAAAATAAGAATAATATCTTACCAATTGCACTATTGAGCATCACAGTTATTTGAATAAAAAAAACCCAGTTTATTATATTTATCTGAAGTGCTGTCAAGAATGCAGCAATGAAGTATGAAGAAATGAAGAGGCCCTGCTGATGAATATCAGTCCAGCTTGCCACAGAATAAATATCAGCATTTATCTATCTCAGAAGAAGATAAATATAATTTCTTATGATGTCACTTATTCTAAATGTTGAGTCCTGTCCAGACATTTCATGAGAGATTATCTGCACTTGGTATGAAACCTGATAGTTGCCATTAGTTGTCTCTCCTGACAGCAAAATTAATTTCTCTTAAATGAGAATGCATTTCTAATTGGGCACTTTCTTCCCTAACAAATAGTTTACAGTACCTCTGCAAGGATTCTGAAATCATCCCTTTTCTTTGATGTTGCTGGTTAATTACAGCCCACTTGGTTCTTAGTAGCTGCAATTTGAGTAATATTGCCGTAACATACTCCACTGTGAAAGGTCCATCTTAATCACATGCTCCTCGCTCAAGCTTCTGCTTCAGAAGAGAGCTGTACTTCTTCTGTCAAGCTGCATGTGATGCCAGGTTGGGTTGTTCCATCCCCCCCCTTCTTTCTCTCCAAGCGAGTTCAGAGCTTACGTACTTAAGAGACTGACAGCACCCAAAATGAAATTCTCTCTTTAGCCACAGAACAGCTCCAGAACTGGCAGTTCACTGCAGTCTTCTCTATTCCACCTCTGAGTCTATCTACACGGCACAGTGCGGCAGTGTGTGGAGATAACTGGGCTGGCTGTAGTATCCTCGTGTTAGCACAGTGGTCTGCCAGAGCTAATTAGCAACACCGAGAGGCAGGGTTCATTAGCCTGGTCAGAATGCTGAACTAACAGAGCAGGCTGCTTCCAGGACTGCGGTCGCTGTTTGCATCTCTCTACCTGAGACTGTGCTGTGCAATGTGGATATAACCATATGCTTTAAATGGGATCTTTTTTGGGAGGGAGATCACTAGGTCCTTGAACTTCTGGTGAGAAGGACAAAAGATGTCAGCTCTGATGCTTGCTCAGATGTGGATTTGTGTCTATATTGGGCCACCCAAATAAATTTGCAGGCACCCACTCAAAAGCTGTCAGATAGTAAGATTTTTGGATGTTTTGAACACCAGTTGGACTCTTGCTTTTATGTTTTACTATTGACTTTAAGGCAAAAAGATTTTTATCAGTACCTTGGAGATATTCTGGTTTCACGTATGTTTTTATCTATAATGCCCGCTTACAGTACACCTGTAATGAAGATGAAATTAGCATACTGCCTTGGTTTGGGCAAGCTGCCACTTAAAGAATATTGCTTGAAAGGAAGCAAAGTAATACCCTACAAATGAGCACACCAAATTATGCAGTCCTATTCTTCTAGATGTGGCAAAGCAGGAGGAAGAGTAATGAGAGGAACAGGAACTCCTGCTCTCTTCCTTACCCATTATCTTTAGGTGTTGAAGCAGTGTCTGCTTAACTCCCCGCGGAGCCAGCAGAGATCTCAGTGCTCCAAGTTGCCTGTTGTCTGTTCAGAACTTGGCTCCTCATTTATGCAAGGAAAAGCAGATCCCTGGAGCAAAAAAAAATGTGAAAGCCCTCCTTTTTGTTTCTAAGCCAAAGCTATGTTGTGCTTTTTGTTCTTCAGGGGCAAGTTCCAAATGGTTCCTGATACATTTATGGCTTTGTTTTCAGGCCACTGTTTTGTCATTACAGTTTAAAAATAGTGAAACAACTGTCAAACCCTTTTACTGTTCAAGGTAGGATGTAAAATCAGAAATCCTTGTACTCGGGCACCACAAAGACAGGGAACTTGGAGACAGTTAAAATAAATGCGATATTAACAGCTGAAAATCTATGTTTAAAAAGAATAAATCTTACACCAGAGTGGAAGAAATGGAAAAGAATCATCTGTTTCCAAGGGATAACATATAAAGTAAGTTACAGACATCTCCAATGTGCACTCAGAGTCTAACTTTGCAGCAAGAGGAAGAAAGGATGCCACCATGCAGGAATGATCCTTCAGCCTATCATATTCCCTTATAATAAAACTACACTTTCTATTATAGGTTAAAGGAAGGTATTTATGTCTAACATAACTAATATTACAGATGCATAAACAGTTTAAGTTGCCAGTCTGGCTGAGATAGTCCTGTCCTTTCTGCCTCTGACTACTATTCTTTGATTCAGTGCTTTTTTACATAAAGAACTCTTCCTATTTTGTTCATATTTGCCTTACTACGTGAGTTCAGTTCATTGCTACTTTGAAGTACACCAGTATATATTTCGCTGTTTTCGTAGGCTGAACTACGTTGCGTTAGACTGTATTGCTTCCAAGTTTGCTTTACCTCTGTGCTCAGATACAACAGCATTTTCATTTTCTCATTCTTCATGCTAAGTAATGGAGTTTCACTTATTGATACCTCGCATGTCATCTGAGAACATTTAATTGATTGGATGCAATTTTCAGACTCAGTCGCATGATAGACAGAAAAGTGTCACTGAGCGGAGGGCAAAGTCTCGCTTCACTTGGCCACTGATACATCTGCCAGCCCTTGTCGTATTAATTTCCATTTTACATATTAAAAAAAAAAAGCACTAAAGGATATGACTGTGCTTACTGAATTTAATTAACACCTTTATGAAAGAAGTTGTTATTTACTTTACAAGTTGTGAAAACAAAAAACCTAGCCCTATGCTGCGATTTACTCTGTATGGAGTGACTGTTGGCTTGTGTAGCACTTCATTTATTGTAGGCCTATTTGTTTTACCTGCACTCTAAGGATGAAAAGAGCTGGCGGTGCCATCGGAAATATAAGCAGCTCCTACAAAATCAAACCAGTACTATTTAGCACTATGACAGCACTCTTGAACATTGCAGTGCTTTGCAAACATTCGATAATGAAGGCCGGGTCCTCCTCCTGTTCATTTCAGCAGCCATCACGACTGAGACATGAGCTGTAACACGGGGCTCAACCTTCAAATCTTCACTCTGTCTGAGAGTATAAGGCTTATAGAAGTATTCTAACTTGCTTAAAGCTAAGCACAGTTGTTACAGCAGGACAGAAGCCCTTGCTTCCTATTTTAAATGGTTTTACTTCTGGCTCTATGTCTGGAAAAATCCATTCAAATCCACACAACATGCAGAGGAGGGGAATATACGCTATATTGTGAACAGAGAATGATGCAAAGCACAGGAAAATAAAAGAAAGGAGGCCATTTGACAGGAAAAATGTATTTCTGAGGAAGGAGAGAGGTATTTCAGTGCTGCACATGCCAGTGCTCATTTCTTTTGCCCCGGTGCCGGGCACTGATCTCCTCAGCTGCTCCTGTCACAGCAAGTGGGCACAGGGCGCACGGGGCTGACCCACCTTTGCTGGAGAAATCCCTGAAGTTAGAAAAAGGGGATAAAAGGCTTAAAAGTAACCAGCTGTGCCGCTCAACTGCTCTGCGATAGCCCTTCAGAGAAGCGCCGCTTCCTGACTGAGCCCCGCTTCCCAGCCCAGCCGCCCTCCCCTCAGAGCCCGCACTACATTTCCCAGCTTGCCCCGCGCCGCCGCGGCCTCGCCGCGCTCCTCACGGTCCGGCGGGGGATGCCGGGCCTGGCCGGCCAAGATGGCGGAGGGGGTGCTGAGCCCCGGGGTGAACCTGGAGGCCTTCTCTCAGGCCATCGCCGCTATCCAGGCGCTGCGCTCCAGCGTGACGCGGGTCTTCGACTGCCTGAAGGATGGGATGCGGAACAAGGAGACCTTGGAGGGCCGAGAGAAGGGCTTCGTGGCCGCCTTCCAGGAGAGCCTGCACTCCGTCAGCATCAGCGGGCCCTGAGGGGGCGTCCCCCCGCGTCGGTGGGCAGCTGGGCGCCCGGGCCCGGTCCTGTGGTGGCGGCGCGGCGGGGAGAGAGGTCCCAGGGTCCTCCCGGCGGGGCCCCACCACCCCCAGGCCCTGTCCCCTCGGAGACGCCCGGCGGTGCCGTTTGCACTCCCGGAGAAAGTTTTAGGCAAATAAACGTGAAAACGCTCCGTTTTATTCTTTTCGACATCGTGTGCGTCACTCCTCCGTGGTGTTTCATTCCCGAGTCTCCGAAGGGATGAATGCCATTTATAATATTTACCTGGTTTTTGTTCTTGTTTTGGTTTTAAAAAGGAGCTGTTGGTACGGTTGCCTTGGCAGGAGGAATGCTTTTGGTTGCAGGGTGATTTTTCTCTTGCGTAGGTTTTTTTGTTGTTGTTCAAAAAAATTAAACACTTTTTAGGCTCTGACCATTCAGTAGCATTGAAGTGGTTCAAGACTTACCGTTTTATTACCAAATGTTGTAAGGCCAGAAAGTTAGTACACGTAAATCTAGTTGTTTAGTACTAGCAGGTGTGTTTCGTGTAAATGGAGACAAACTGTTGAGGCTGATGGGCCATGTGGGTCCTGCCAGAGTGGCTGTATCCCGCTGGGAGCTATCAGTGCTGTTCAGGGAGATGTCCAAGGGCATAACCACCCTTTCCCTGCATGCAAAATCATAACTTGGTTTGGGGTGGAAGGGACCTTAAAGATCATCTCGTTTCAACACCAGTGCTATGGCCAGGGACGCCTTCCATGCTTTCTGTCCCTTGAGATTTAGGGTTCAGGGTGTTCTGAATGAGAATTTGTTTCTTGCTGGCTAATTGGCTGATTTTTATTTTGTTCTGATCATGATAATACAAGTTGTTTCCTACTTCTTCCCTTCTCTTGGGAAAGATAGTAGCTAATCATTGTTATGGAGGATGTCGTGCACTGTTTTGTAGACTTCTGTTGTATCCCTTTGATTTTTATTGTTTTCAAGTTGAGGAGGCTTCATGTAGGGAACCATTCCTACATTCCTTTGGTTATCCTTCTTGTCTTGCTAGGTAGCCTTTTAAAGGGTTATTTAGGATAACCCCAAAATCTTGTTCCCAAACGATAATAGATAGCAGTTGGCTCTGGCCTGTCTTGTCTCACGTGTAGTATTTTACAGTCCTCTACTTTGCAGCCTATCATCCAGTATTTCAGTGCTGTGAAGTTCTTGTGCAATTCTTTGCAGTCAGTCCCTGTCCTTACTTCCATACCTGAAAGCAGCTTCATCATCAAACTTCACCAGTTCCTTTCTCACCATCTCTTCCACAGCATTAGTGGCTAGGCTTATCAGTGCTTTGTTGACTGTTTCTTTACTAATTCCCTCCAAGATATTTTTTTTTTACTATTTTGGAGTATATTTAGTCTTTTTTGAAACGTAACTGCCCCAAAATATTGTAATTTATGTAGCATCTAAGTGTTATGTAGTCTGTTATGCGTTTGGGATGCATGGGGAGTACTCCAAGGTGTGTGAAAGTTAACAGTATCAGCAGCTCATGTCATGAAAATATTGACTGAGATCCCTATTCAACAAGTCCTTAGTTATTATGTTTATTTACATTTATTGTGTTCTTCTATCAGTAACTATTAAGCACACTCATGAGTGTTCAGAGTATCAGAGTCTTAGAAAGAATGTAGTCCATGGAAACTTGAAGGGATGATGATTAATAAAGGCAAAATTTTGGGTAGTAAAGTGTGGAAGTTTAATAACTTTCAGTTCCCTGATTGTTTGCATTTATTTTCATAATCTTCTTTACATTCAAATTGAGGTATTCGGGATTTTTCTTTAGAGAGATTTTTCAGAAGTTGCCCCTTTGGAGGGTCCAAATCCTGCTTTAAATTTAGTGGAAATTCGGAAGTTCAGAGTAGGATGTAACATTCAGAAGTCAAAAGGAAAGGCACGCAATTAGTCATGTCGCTTGAAAATCTGCATTTTATATCTGTGCAAAGTAGCCAGTCTGTCTTCTACAGTTGATTAATGCAAGTTTTAAAAATTGCTTAACTTTTGTTATTATTAGATGTAGTGTTTGACAAATGAGATGTGAAGCAATAATAGATCATTTCACAGTGAGATTTTTTCCATGGGAAAATGCTGCTTATTATGCTTTAGTTGAGTATTTTGTGCACGTCTACAAATGTACAAATTGCTCATGGAAATCGGAAGATGCTTCCTTGCCCTGAGAACTTGGTGTGCGTGTAGAGGCAGACTTAGCAGGACAACGTCCAGGCTTAGGGCTTATGCCAGTTCTTCTGTGTATTTATATGAAGACAGTCTTAATTTCCAGTTCTTTAATGAAAAGATGAGACACCTGTCTGCTTGATGGCTGTAAAAATACTACTAGTATTGTAGGCCATGCTAAAGTCAGAATTCTATAGTTTGTGAGGGTATGCATTGCTCAGAAGATGCCCTGGGTTCTGGAAGTGCTTCTGAACAGGACCTCCCATAGTTTGACTCTTACCAGGTTGTAGGACAACGTCCAGGCTTAGGGCTTATGCCAGTTCTTCTGTGTATTTATATGAAGACAGTGTTAGTTTCCAGTTCTTTAATGAAAAGATGAGACACCTGTCTGCTTGATGGCTGTAAAAATACTACTAGTATTGTAGGCCATGCTAAAGTCAGAATTCTATAGTTTGTGAGGGTATGCATTGCAACTCTTCCCAGGTTGTCTCACAAAGACTCTTGACTTGTACTTTCTCTCCTAAGAAACACTGAGCTTAACGACTAACAGACCACTTTAAGTTATTTGGATAATGAGAGTGATTGTTTTTTATCAAGTTGGGGTTGTATTTAAAACCCACTTAGATACTAAAATAGAGTTCATGCGTGATTACTGTGCCTGCAGGAGGATTGTACATCTCATATAACTGTATTTGCAGGTCTGACTTAATGCCATTCTCTTTTCTTTCAGTGAACTGGAGCGTCTGAGCAACCTAGTTGGTAAACCATCTGAGAACCACCCCCTGCACAACAGTGGACTGCTGAGCCTAGATCCTGTTCAAGACAAAACGCCTCTTTACAGCCAACTTCTTCAAGCATACAAATGGTCAAATAAGGTAACAGAGTACATCAGTGCAATTTAGTTGTGTATCCCTACAGAATGATTTGTGATACAGTAGACTTCTGAGTGTATGAGACAGTTAAAATTGCTGAGGTTTTTTTTATGAAGTTGAGGAGAATAATATGTACCTAATGTACTTTCAAGGGTAAAAATGGTGTTTTAATTGAGAGGAGGCTTTTCTGTGATATGGAGTTGTGCCCTTGTTCTTCAAAGAGGGTGTTAACTCCCAAGCAGAACAATACTTTTCATGTTAGCTGTTTAGTGTCTTATGTAGATCTAAAATAAAAGTATATTGTGTCCTTGAATCTGGCAGTAAACACTGTAGCAGAGGACAGTGGGATATTAGAGCAGGGAATCAAGAGCTTATGTCACCTCCAAACCTATTTCTAGGGAAGAAACACACAGGGAAGTTGTCATCAGAAATCTCGATGCTTTTCCATACCATTTTCTGTTGCTAGAAAACATTTGCACCTGCTCTTAGAAGTAACTCAGGATTGAACAACTTTGGCATTCCTATTGTTTTTGTGTTGCATATATTGGATTGAATTTTAAGGAATGTTTAAAAAGGCAATGTTTAAAAAAAGTGATTGCTTTTGTTGAAAGAGACTTCTTTCTCATGAACATAATTCGGTTCCATAGACGTGTATGCTGAATGTGTGTAGAGACAGAAATTAGGTATCTTTCCTTCAGTGCTCTGAACATAGTCTACTTGTGGATCAGAAATACTGCTTTCCTCACATCTGATTTTTATTAAATAAGCAAACATTGCATTATTGCAGTTATCACTGGTCTCTAAGCATCTGTGTGTTTCAGGTTGCCTGTTCCCATCCTAAATTTTTTGAGCATGCTTATTACTTTTTATAGAAGTATTTAAATGAATATGTATTTAAAACCTCTGTTAAAATTATTATTTAAATACTGGTGAGAAAATTGTAAAAGATGGATTCGTTTCTGCTATGGCAGTTGTTAATAGTAGGAGATTCCAGAGTTGTAGGTTTTAACAGCCTTGTACAAGACAGCAGGAGTAAGCAAGAATAATAAATCTGAAAATATTTAGGGCATTATTCCACATTAAATTATTTATTGCGATACGTGAGCAAGGAAGGCTTTCAGTCTACACAAGTACTTCGTAGGCAAATTATTGCTATGCATTGAGCAAACCAATTAATATTACTTGGAATTTAAAATAGAATACTACAACAATGTTAGTGTGAATACCACAACAATGTTGGTACAGCCACTTTTCAGAGTACAAATATGTGTTACTGTCTTCTACAATCAGTAGAATTCAGCACTGATAGAAATTTGGTGTGGTTGGAAAAAGGGAGGCAGGAAGGATTTTTAAGTAGAGATTTATTAGTTGAGAAAACGTTTCATGTTTGCTTGTGTTTCTTGCTGTTAGCATCAGATTATTGGCACTGAAGAAAAAATAATTAATTTGCTACTTCTGGAAAAAACCCCCATCTAACTCTTATATGTGAAAACTTCTGAACTTGTAATGCAGTTAAGTCTTCAGTGATGTAATTACTTACAGGTCACTGTCAGAGGTAACTCAGTTGATAATGGAATAGCTTTGGCAGCGTTGTTCTAGTAGTTTTTTTATTAGCTTAGAGTATCATGGAGTCTTGAAGAGCAGTTTTTTGTAGTACTGCATTCTGATTTCAGAGAACAGAAAGTTTTAGCATCCCGTGCACTCATGTACTCAGTTAAATGTTCCAGAAGAAAACAACCATTTTTTTCCTTTTGTTTCTGTTGTCTTTGACTTCTGTTTTACAGCTAAAATAAAAGATAATGTTTAAGTTGTATTTAAACAGACACTGCCTAATGGTTCTTCTGAACTTTACTAGCATCCTTTTTTAGTGTGTAATAACCAGCAGGCATGGATAGGTTGCCCCTATTTCTAAGAGCAGATGTTGCCTGTGTTACGATATTAGCTGCTGGATTTACCATTAGCAGCGAAGAAACTGTCAATGCTCATGTATGTCGCTGCTTAGTTCTTCATCACTAAATACACTCCCTGAATAAGTGTTATTTCATTACATCTTTTGGCTGCCTTCCGTTCTTATTTTGTGTGTCTGGTGTTATGTGCTGCCTCGAAGGGTGGATTTAGATGTGGTGATGTGTCAATACACTTTATATCTGTCCACATTTAATTTTTAATTTGTGACCCCTTTGTGGCTTGCTTGCTTTTATTTTTGATGAGCTGAGATAAGGGCATTTTCCTCTCTCGTTGATTGTTCATGCATTACTGATGGCATGAATAGCCACATGGCTGCCGGGGAGGGGAGGTGGAGTAGAGTTTTGGGGCTGTGGAGCAATTCCAAAAGGACATTCATGAAATACAGGGAAAATGAACTCACAGACTTTGTGGTGCATGTTTCAATGTGTGCTGTTTATTTTTAAAACACAGGGAAGCTGGTTGTAGTACCAGTTATCGTTTAGTTTTGTATTCTATTTCAGCTGAGGCTATATTTAACATCATTTCTTTTGGTTTATGAGATAGCAGACATTAGAAGAATTAATTCTCTTGATCTGCAGCTTTGTTTTGATGCTGGGTGAAGCACGTACCCAATTTTGAGCTCTTCTTAGATGCATGCACAAGATTTTTGGGTTAAGTAACAGTGCTGGGTGGGAAGTGTAGTGAAGGTCATACTCACAGGCATAAATAGAAAATTTTAAGATGTGAATGTAAATGCAGGAGATCAGACTTACCTGACACTTTTCAACTTGCTTTATTTACCACGTTTAATATGTGCAGCTGTGACTGGTTTTATATGGTGAGACTTGCATTTAGGTGCACATTTAGTGACCGAACTCTTTAGCTTCATGCAGTGGAGATTAATTGCATTTAATTGTCGCTTCAGAGGTATAGGTTTTATGAAGTTTGTCCCAAACCTTATTTTACTGTTCCTTTGAGTCACAACACCACTTCCTCTGTTGGAGTATCTGAAGTTTGCCTGCTTCAGGTGTACAGAAAAGTACAGTGGGAAAAACGAAAACTTTCCTTACAGAACTGTGTTATCTTGGCAGCGTTTGTTATTTATTAGCACCTGCTATCCTGATATTTACTTACTGTAGTTTACTCAATACTTTTGCAGGTGGCAAAGTTGTCCGTATAATGGAGGCAGCTGTTTGGGAACACAACAGCTTGTCAGATGCATTAATTACATACACATGCAGCTGTAAAGGAACTTTACTTTTTCAGGTGTTTAACAGAGCTTACAAGCTTTAGCTGAAAAACACCAGAAGCTGAAGTTGGTCTTAATGCAAGCAAGAGCTAAATGGTTTCTCTTCTTTACTTTAGCTTCTTTTGTGTACCAGTAGAAACCATATAAGTAAATTACTTTGGCTGTGGGGTGCACGGAGGTGTGTCGTAGCCATGGAACAATATTTAGGTCTATTTGATAATATTTTTCCTCTTCAGTTTTGTTGAAGAAAAGAGTTTTTCTTCATTAGAACTGAAATGCTGTTTCCCAGAAGGATCTGTATGTGCCCGGTAATGTAATACTCAAGATATAATATTAGATAAGACAAAAATGAGCTATCATCCTGTGTGGGTAATGCAGCTAAGCTATTACCAGTAAGTTAGGAAGTTTGTAGAAATCAGTAGGGGTTTTTTTCTTGTGGACTGACTCTGCATGCTTCTTGATATTTATTCTCGATACTGGGTGACAAAGGGCTTTTGTGGGGGGAAAAATACTTGTGGATGATGTGATTAAACCAATATCATGTATATATACCTCTCATATATGAAATGTTTAATAAAGCTTGTGATGGTGTAATTACCTGATCCAGCTATAGTAATGCTGGCATTCAGGGCAGACGCAGGTTTTTGGAATCTCAACATCCTCATTCTTTGAGTGGTATGAACTTTTATTTTCCATCTGCTGCTTCAGCGAGGTGAGTTGTTGCCTGCAGTGTGTATTTGTTCATCCTCTTTGCCCTTGGCAAAGCATTCCCGTACCCTCGCCCTGTGCGTGCCTGAGGCAGTGTTTGTTAAGGTGTTTCCAGTGACTCTAGTGGAACAGAAAATACAAACGTAGTTTGTGTCCACTGAGCAAAGCAAATGCTTTTATAGGACAAGTTCCTCCTCTCTTAGTGGGGTGCTGTCAAGTAGTTTATGCCCAACATTTCAGCTTTAATCACTGGTAGGATTTTTTGCTTGTTTGGTTTTGTTTGTTTGAAGAGCATACGCAAAGTGGATCAAGTACCAAACTAGTACCATAGAATTACATTTTTTTACCAGACTTAAGCACTGAGTTTGTTGGATAGCAGCAGACTAAGCCTTCCCTGAGCTGCTGACTGACAGCAGTATTAGCAGGGTTTACTTACCCAAGTGAAGACTGTCTTTTCTGTGTCCTCTTTATTTTTTTCCTCCCTTTGCAATAAAGTTTTCAGACTTTTAAATACTATTACTAACAGCAGTAGAAGTGGGGGAAATTCGGAACAATTCTAGTCTTGAACAGATGATGTTATTTTGATTTATTTCCTTGACTTTAACTTCACTGAATTTCAGTGTTTATGCTCTGCTGTTGTCAGAGTTGTATTTGTCCATTCGCTTTACTCCAATTGCAACACTTCTGTAGTTTGAGCCTGTGTGTGTAGGTGTGTGTGTATGTGAGTGATGGTATTGTTTTATCATCGTGGGATGGTACTTAAACATGATAACCGTGTGTTTGGGAAGGCTGTTATCTACCACTTCAAGCAGAAAGCAAAAAATGAACTTTTCTGACTTTGTGACTTTCTGGGTGAGTAGGATTTAGATGAAATTATTTAATTTACTCATCTGTTAAAATAAGGTTATGGCAACTTGCACAAACTTTACAGTATCAGTGTATTGTAAATATTCCAAGTGAACAAATCTAGACAGCAATAATCATAATTTTCTTTAAAAGTAATATGCTGGCAAAGACAAAATAAAAAACCCCAAACAACTGTTGATCTGCACATTGAAATACACTAAAAAATAGTTGGTTTTAAATTTGTTACTTCATA